CTCTGAAGACATGTATATTACAAAGAGTCAAGTGAAGACCAAATGCAAACAGCCATCATCTAAACCAAAAAAAAAAGAAACAGACCTTCAACTTCCAGATATTTCCAGTACAACTCCATCAATCCTAGAATTCAAAGGGGCAATGCCCAAGTCTGATTTGAGTACACGTCCTAAAATCCCATCACCTCAATGTCATGATTCTTTCAACACAAAGGAAAAGCCAACAGACTTTATACAGGGACCATCAGACCGGTTAACAAAACACACCTTAATTGATGTAGGTCAAGGTAGGAAAACACCCAGACCTAGATGTCCGATTCTAGAGAAACCACTGCAGCTTACACCTGAAAAGCTTCAAGAGTTCAAAAAGGTTCATTTTGTTGAAGATAAGTCACAAATGACCTCAAAGAGTCGTCCTGTGAAAAGCAAAATATTGGCCCAGTGGCCGTGTCCCGTTCTGGCTCCTGACACTGTGAAGTCCTCCAAGCAAATAAATGCAAAGGCACAATATAAAATAAATGAATTGACACAGCATACTGGTGATAAGGCGCCGGCTGCCGCTCCTCCAGGTGCTAAAGAATACATAATGCCAGCTAAAACAGAAACTACAAAGCCAGCTCAGAAAATGGCTAAGGCTGGGATTGTACTCTCACAAGAACCCACCCATTTAATTAGTGAGAGTCCAAAATATCAATCTGTGAACGTGAAAGCTAATCGTCGATGTAAAAAACCAAGAGCATCCTCCAGGAACCCAAAGCATAATTTAATCATTCGTCAGTCTTCTAAAAATATTAGTGACAGCAGTCCTCAAAACATTCCAAGGGTTCTCACTGAGGATCAATCAAAGGACAACGTCTTGGAGAACATTCCTACTAGTAAGCTGTCCAACCATAAGACAACTCAGGATACGACCAAATGTCAAAAAGAGGACGTTTTGGGTGCAAAACTGGAACAAAAAGAGCCCCAGAGATGGGAGAACTTCCAGGTAGACACTGCTTGTAGTATGAAACCACAGCGTAAAGCGAATCTACCCCCTAACGTGGAAGCCTGGTAAGCTTATTTCTAACCATTAACATCAGTACAGGGCAGAGAGCAATCTCATAAGGCCAAATGACATGCATCACTTTGAGACTGCTGTCTTATTCATCATTTTTAGCTTTGAATGAGACCGTTTTCTCACTGCAGGCTGTAAAGGAGCAGGTTTTTTTTTCATATTTACCGGCTTCTCCTTTCTTATGCTTTCCACACCCACTCCAGGAGGGGGACATTGGTCTAACCAATCAGTATTCTGTCCCTAAGAATGCTGGAAAAGTGCCTTGGGAATGCCTGACAGATTTGCACATGTGCAGTGATAAGATCTCTTCACCTTGTGGCATCCTGACTGGGAGAAGAGAGGGCGTCTGATCACATCCTGACAGGGGGAGAAGAGTGGGCGTCTGATCACATCCTGACAGGGGCAAAAGAGAGGGCGTCTGATCACATCCTGACAGGTGGAGAAGAGTGGGCGTCTGATCACATCCTGACAGGTGGAGAAGAGAGGGCGTTTAATCACATCCTGACAGGGGCAGAAGAGAGGGCGTCTGATCACATCCTGACAGGGGCAGAAGAGAGGGCGTCTAATCACATCCTGACAGGGGCAGAAGAGAGGGCGTCTGATCACATCCTGACAGGTGGAGAAGAGAGGGCGTCTGATCACATCCTGACAGGTGGAGAAGAGAGGGAGTGTGATCGCATCCTGACAGGGGGAGAAAAGAGGGCGTCTGAGCACATCGTGACAGGGGCAGAAGAGAGGGCGTCTGATCACATCCTGACAGGGGGAGAAGAGAGGGCGTCTGATCACATCCTGACAGGGGGAGAAGAGAGGGCGTCTGATCACATCCTGACAGGTGGAGAAGAGAGGGCGTCTGATCACATCCTGACGGGCAGAAGAGAGGGCGTCTGATCACATCCTGACAGGTGGAGAAGAGAGGGCGTCTGATCACATCCTGACAGGGGCAGAAGAGAGGGAGTCTGATCACATCATGACAGGTGGAGAAGAGAGGGCATCTGATCATATTGTGACAGGTGGAGAAGAGAGGGCGTCTGACCAGTGTGATCATGCAGAGGAGGCTCTGGTGTCTGGTTTTTCTCTCCTGCTGCTGCACAGTGATGCTCTGTTTCTGTCGTAAGTGGACTCGTTTGAGACTGAGATAGGTGGGTAAGGAGGAGGGTTAAGCTGAAAACTGGCTGAGAAGTGTACCCAACAACGCAATCTGGCCAAGTTTATATTAAGTTTGTAAGCGTGCCTTGCTTTACCATATCTTGGTTTGTATGATCGTTTAAAATTATTTGCTTGCTGGTTTAAAAGAATACTTGTCAAGTGATGCATGTCTTTTTTTTCTTTTTTAAGGTTTTTAAAATTTACCATTTATTATAGTCAAACAGTAATATCAACTGATAGAAGTGTGTAAATGATTAGTGCTGCCTATTGAACTGGATTCCCTCTTATACAGCCTACATGTGCAAAATATACAGTAAAGTGTCAATGCTGCATATGTATAAAAGTACAAAGTGATATTAAAACACAAGGTAAATGTATAGCCCCACAAACGTTTACCTTGTAACATGTTTTAGAAACCGACAACAAATTCTCACATAACAAAAAGAGAATAAATAAAATAAATATATATAGCATGTTTTACTAAATTATATATATATATATATAAAAAAAAAAAAACAGAATCCAGCGCACTCGCTTATTCACTAAACAATGATTTCAAATCTTAGAGATTGTAATAGTTTTATTTAAAAACACCTTACCTAGGCAAAATAAAACTATTACAATCTCTAAGATTTGAAATCATTGTTTAATGAATAAGCGAGTGCGCTGCCCCAGCAGCACCCTATAATGTATGCATGTTCAGGTGAGTGCAGCCCTCTTGGTTTTATATATATAATCTCTCTCTGTCATACAAAATACACAATCCAGCACACACACTCATTCATTCAACAGCGACTTCAAGTCTCACGGATTGTAATAGTTTTATTTTAAAACACCTCACCAACACAAAAAAATTATGGGGATTTACAGTGTTTGATCATATATTGCATAAGCCTGCCACAATGTCAATGTACCCCATTCTGGCATGTCCTACTCTAGCAGCCTAATGCCTGCTCTTATGAGATGAATCTACTTACTTGGGAAATTCTTCCTCCTGGGACTCTCTGCAGGTCAAGGCTAAATAGGGGCCTTGAATGTTGTGGCCTGGACTCCCAAATATACAAGCAGGGATTAGGCTGCTAGAGTAGGATTTTCCAAGAATCTGGTACATTGAGATTGTGGCACGCTTGTGCAGTCTGATTATATAATGCAACTAAACCCCCATTATTTTTTGCCTATGTGATGTGTTTTTAAATAAAACTATTACAATCTGTGGGACTTGAAATTGCCGTTTAGTGAATAAGAGTGTGCTGTGTATTTTGTATGTTGTATAAATTGGCCCCAGCAGCACCCTACGATTATGCATGTTCGGGTGAGTGCAGCCCTAGCCATCCTTGGTTTCGTTTATTTTTTTGGTAGTCCTGGCCAACTCCTTTGTTTTGGTGCCTCATCTAATCTCATGCTTCTCACAAGGAAGCATTGAATCTATGCTTAAGCATCAGAGAATGTTTGACAACTGTTGCAATGTGTGAGGAAGTGGTCATGGATGAAGAAATCTGTCTATTTTAGTGTTTCAGCTTGAAACACTGCACATTCAGAGATATTTGCACCCCCATGTGCTCTGTTACAAATGGCTTAATCTTAGCTGTGTGCAATTGCATAACAAGCAAGGTCGGGGCATCTCCAGGAGAGGTCTTGCTCTCTTTAAATGGAAGCATTGCTTATCTGACAGAAAACTGTGCATGTACTTTGCATTCGACTTCTCTCCCAAATTCACTCTGAAATGGTTTTAAACCTTGAAAATATGCAGCGCCCATGGAGCAATGGATTGCACTAAAAGAGGGGTTCATTAAAGAGTAGACAGACAATGTGTCTGTATTAAATTAAAATTGACAATGTGTCAAATTAAAAAACATCCATCTCCTAATTGCAGGCTTTCAGTGTCACAGAACTGGCTTGCAGAACCAGTTTGGATCACTACATTGAAACTCGCATCGTCGCTGGTCACAGGAACCCGGCTGTGGATGGATCATTGGGAAGTGGAAGACAGAAAAGGCAACATAAAGGAGCACTGGGGGTAAAATAGAGTGATCCCATGCAGCATATGAATTATTAGAATGGGGGGCAGTTTTCCTATAAAATGACCATGTCACCATCAGGTCCCAGGTTTGTGTTTTCTAATGTAAAGTGTCTTAGTATTGTTTGCACCGAGGGACAGCTACCTGGATACCAAGTGCAGTATAAAATCAGAGTAAAACATTTTCCAATACTTTTTGTCCTAAGTTTTGCTATTCACTTTTCAGCTCACAGGTTAGTGAATAGATCCCCGGCTGAACAATTACTGCAGTATTACGTATATTTAATACAAAAATGAAAGACACAGGCATCAAATTAGTTTTTACTTTTATTTTTAGGATAATTTCAGACATGTCTGTGGTTAGACAGTGACAAATTGCCACAAAACGTGTCATAAAAGTTTCAAATTGCAGCTCCCTTGCAATAACCATGAATGCCCAGGACTAAAAATTATAAATTACCAAAGATCACTGAACGCAGAAGGATAAAATGTTTACAAAGGGCCGATGTCACGACTATTCACCACAGAATAGAAGGGGTGGGGGGGAGGCGGACATTCCCTTTCACACTTCAAGTCCCAGACATATAAAAGGGCTTCTTAAGAAAAAGAAAAAAAAAATATTGCCAGGTACTTTGGCAGAGGAAATGGCACACTGTGCCCCAAAGCTTGAGCAAGCTATGCTCTATACTGCTTTATTTTATACAAGGCCCATTCTAGTAAGGGCAGGTGTGCTGTCAGAACGAACCCAGAGAGAGGAGTAGCACAAAATCTTCACCCTGCGGCTTAGACTATCATCTCCAACTGCCGGGCATACTCTATGACTTGCTTGGCTAGTTCCGTTGATGGAATTGTGGCCTCTTCAGGGTTGTGCTGCTGACTGCTGAAGCTGTAGTAGTTGTTTGGCTCCAACACCCAACCACGCTGTAATGACAAATCAGACAAGGGCCTGAGGATGCAGAATACCAGGCAAATACTTCACAATATTTTTTAGCCCCAAATGGTGTTAATATACCCCAACACTGCCCTTCTCTGCTAATCTGACACAGTCTCATTGTATCAGGCCCACTGCATGTTAACCAGCGCTATCGGGGGGAAAAGATCTATCATTAATGGAACTACATTTTAATCATTTCACTGAATGGTCTTCACAGAATTAAACAGCTTTCATCTCTGCTCAACCTCTTTACATTAACGTTAATAAATAAATGCCATTATTGTGACAATGGTAAAAAGACAAGCTGTTCCCACAAATGTTCTGGCAGCATTTTACTGAAGTGAATAAAAGGTTTAACAGAAATACTCACAAAGTGAGGAAAAAAAAATAAAAAAATGGGAGCTCTGGTTCAATTGACAAAACGGCAGGGAGAGCAGGATTGGTGGTGTGAAAACTAGCAGTACTCATTGAAATCCCAATCTCTATAAAGCATTAACAAAAAAAGGGACGGCATAAAGCCAGATCATTACTGTATAAATAACAATGTCTGCACACCTGTATAACAAACATTAAGGAAGTGTATATATATTGTGTAACAGCAGCACGTTAGGGGGCTCCATGATGGCGGTTAGAGAACCTACATCCAGCACTCATTCCCAGGCAATCACTAGTGTCAGTTGCAGAGTTTTCCCTGAATAAGAGACAGTAGCAGGCACTAAATCCCGTGAGATGTACAAACCTTCTTTGCATAGTCTGTCATCTTCTTGGGTGTGTTAAAGAATAATATCCTTGTTGCCTCATTAAACAATACTTTCTCATACGCCTTTTCAATGCAGCCAGCAATTTCATCCCTGCAACAAAACGTAGCAACATCCATGTAAACCAAATTAGCCATTGCTAGTTAGAGGTGCAAGGGCTGGGAGTTAAGCTGTAAGAATGAGGGCAGAGGCTGAGAGCACTGGGAGTTACACCAGCCAGTGACGTGGTGGGGAATGGCGGCTGAGAGTTACACCAGCCAGTGACAGGGGAGGTGGGGGGGGCGGGGTTGCCGGGGCTGAGCGTTACACCAGCCAGTGACAGGGAGGATGGCTGGGCTGAGAGTTACAACAGCCAGTGACGGGGAGGATGGCTGGGCTGAGAGTTACAACAGCCAGTGACGGGGAGGATGGCCGGGGATGAGAGTGCTGGAAGTTACACCAGCCAGTGACTGGGAGGATGGCCAGGGCTGAGAGTTACACTAACCTTATTGTGTTGAGTAAAATGTCAATGAAGAACGTGTAACTCTCGGCTGGGATGTTACCTTTCGCCAGAAACACCTTGTTGTAGCTCCCTTCCATCAGGTACTGCCATTATTTAAAACAAAGAATAGTTTATTAGTTAGATCTCTAAGAATGTAAGTTTCATCATTCTGCCAAACAGAAGCTCCTCAGCCGTGTCAGTGACTGCACCTGCAGATAACAGCCGTACCATTTTTCTTCTCAAAATTTGGTTAAAAAAAAAAAGAATACACAGCACTCTGCACAATTGGTCATAGAGGACACATTTAGCGAGTTAATTCCTTTCAAAAACCAGAAGACATGTGACATCTAGCAGGAAACTATATCAACCGGGTATCCTGCGATTTCCGCATGCAGCACCTACTGCTGTCATTTTATGCATTTTCATGGGCTCGAAATTATTTTCCCATTCACACTACTCTGCTAATTGAAACATCGCGGGATAGCAATGCAAAGAAACATAAATAAGTGCAAGCCCGTGCTGCATGCGGAAATCCCAGGATACCCGATCAGAGAGTTAAACCAAAGTTCCCATCAGGTTCATAACCTTACAGTGTAAAATCCTACGTACTAATACTCAGAATATTCCGTTACCTGCTCCAGAGACACCGGGTGTTTGATGTAAACATTTGCCTGGATCTCTTTTGCCGGTAACCTCTCGAGCTCTGTGTGAAATTCAGCCACTCTGTTCTGCGACAGGAGGAAAAGGAGGTTGAGGCCAAGGAGCTGGTGTTTGTATGCGGATTCTGGGAGTTCATCCCTGCAACACAGGTAAAACAGATTAAAGCACAAATAAGGTTTTCTTATCAGCACTGAACCTCCTTCCTGATCTCGAAAACAGATTAAAAAGACTTGCTGTGTCTCCTGGAGCCAGTGGAAGAGCTAGGACACTGAACACAGTTATTTTAACATTATCAATATATATATTACTGGCAGCCATCACTGCCACAATGGAAGCAGGAAAAGCTCAGAACATTATTTCCATGCTCAGTCCAGAAGTAGTCCTCTTGCAATGATTATCTGAGCTTTGGAGCTGTATGTACACAATAGCAATTCACATCCCAGCCTGCGAAGCCCACACTTTTATTGGGTTTTTATTAAAAAAACATTTTATGATGATTGCAAATTTAGATATTTCATTTCTTTTCAGTTGCCTTTTTAGAGTGAGAGAGACTAAATAATTGTGTGTCTTTATCAGCAAATAGTCCTTATGCTTACTTGTAGTCAAAGTAGTAGCATTTCAGCTGAGCCATATATCTTTCAAATGAAGGGATGTCTTTCTTCAATATACTCCACTGGGCACCAATCTCCAAAACATCTCCTGCAAACACACATTCATATGTCAAACTTACACCACAGCAGAATAGGCAGGGAAATAAGCTAACATCAAACAGGGGGAATCGCAGTAACACTGGGTGCTTCACAGCCAGCAGGAAAAAAAAAAAAATCACAGTAACTATGAGCCGTAGTAACACTGGGTGACGCACAGCCGGCATGGGGGGAATGGCAGTGACACTGGGCTCCACAAAGCAGGTGGCGGGAATGGCAGTAACACTGGGCGCCACCCAGCCGGCAGGGGGTAAATGGCAGTAACAATGGGCGCCACCCAGCTGGCAGGGGGGTAAATGGCAGTAACACTGGGCGCCACCCAGCTGGCAGGGGGGTAAATGGCAGTAACACTGGGCGCCACCCAACTGGCAGGGGGGGTAAATGGCAGTAACACTGGGCGCCACCCAACTGGCAGGGGGGGGTAAATGGCAGTAACACTGGGCGCCACCCAACTGGCAGGGGGGGTAAATGGCAGTAACACTGGGCGCCACCCAACTGGCAGGGGGGGGTAAATGGCAGTAACACTGGGCGCCACCCAACTGGCAGGGGGGGTAAATGGCAGTAACACTGGGCGCCACCCAACTGGCAGGGGGGGTAAATGGCAGTAACTGTCCCATGTTACATAGTATAGTTACATAGTTACATAGCTGAAAAGAGACTTGCGTCCATCAAGTTCAGCCTACCTCACATTTGTTTTTTGCTGTTAATCCAAAAAGTAGGCTTATAGTAACTTTTGCCACATAAGAGAAGTTTAGGAGTATACTTATTTGTTGACAGTGCTTAGAGCCTGTAAAGTGTTTGTACATGTACTGTGAAATTAGTTTAATACTTACTTGCCAATACCAGCTGTTGCTTTGTAAGCTTTACATCAGTTGTGGGTAAGAAATTCTGCTCCAAGAGGCCAAGCTGCGGATATGAAAAATAGAGTCAGAGAAAGACCTGGTGATTTGTAATCAATCTAAAATGTACATGTTGCTCTGTTCCCTATTCATTAGCCATCCTGAAAGATGTACACTATTCTTCAGTTAAAGTTCTTTATTAAAATGTAACAATTGGTAGCATGCATCTAAAATCATCCTATAGGACACAGTACAGTGCCAGGTCTTAACCCCTTAAGGACGGAGCCAAATGTACACGTTGTGAACAAAACAAAATGTAAACAAAACCTGGCACTTGCGCTACATGTCTGTCCAACCGTAATTCACCTCTTTCATAGTAAATGCACCCACCCTTATTATATATCATTTTTTTCAGGGCTTTCATTTAATATCAAATATTTAGCTATGAAACATAATTTAATATGAAAAAAATGGGAGAAAATACGATTTTTTATTTTTTTAGTTCTACATGACATTTTAACGGTCAATGTCATAATACTGTTTGCTCTTACTGCAATAAAATACACATATTTGTATTCAGTAAAGTATCACGTGTAAGACAGTACCCCCTATGTACAGGTTTTATGGCGTTTTGGGAAGTTACAGGGTCAAATATAGCACGTTACATTTGAAATTGAAATTGGCCAGATTGGTTACGTTGCCTTTGAGACTGTATAGTAGCCCAGGAATGAAATTTACACCCATAATGGCATACCATTTGCAATAGTAGACAACCCAAGGTATTGCAAATGGGGTATGTCCAGTCTTTTTTAGTAGCCATTTGGTCACAAACACTGGCCAAAGTTAGCGTTAGTATTTGTGTGTGAAAAATGCAAAAAACGCCAATTTTGGCCAGTGTTTGTGACTAAGTGGCTACTAACAAAGACTGGACATACCCTGTTTGCAATACCTTGGGTTGTCTACTATTGCAAATGGTATGCCATCATAGGGGTAATTTTCATTCTTGGGCTACCATAGTGTCTCAAAGGCAACGTAACCAATCTGGCGAATTTTAATGTGAGAAAAACGCAAGCCTTATATTTGACGCTGTAACTTTTGAAAACACCATAAAACCTGTACATGAGGGGTACTGTTGTACTCGGGAGACTTCACTGAACACAAATATTTGTGTTTCAAAACAGTAAAAAGTATCGCAGCAATAATATTGTCCGTGTAAGTGCTGTTTGTGCGTGAAAAATGCAAAAAACGTCACTTTTACTGGCGATATCATCGTTGTAATACATTTTACTGTTTTGAAACACTAATATTTGTGTTCAGCGAAGTCTCCCGAGTAGAACAGTACCCCCCATGTACAGGTTTTATGGTGTCTTGGAAAGTTATAGGGTTAAATATAGTGCTAGCAAATTAAATTCCCTTTACTTTCGGCATGGGTTGTCAGGCAGGTCCCGCTAATTGTAATTACATACCTACTGGCGTAAAAACCTCGCAAGCATATGGCTACGCTGCCACATGTTACGTTACGCTACGTTATTACATAGATACCTGCTGCACAGGGAGGTGGTGGTAAACAGAAAGAAGCAGGCGATAGTAGGAAATGATAGTCAGAAATTGTGCGTCAGTTCGCGGCAGCGGCTAAAGCCCCTGTGAAAATGTGGCCTGGAAAAGGGAATATGTGCTGGCCGCGTTTTCATTGCTTCTGGCGGAGTGGTTGTAAATTGGTTTGGTGAGCATGTTGTGCAGTATTAAGTAGCTGGTTGCTCATAATAGAAATGGGTCGCTGTGAATGTTAGTAATAAAATTTATTGAAATGAAACAGAGAGTGTGAGGCAGGAATATACACAGTAACCTTAAGCACCGGCATGGTCACCAGATGCCAGCTACTGCATCAACATCGCAATCTGAATCCATCCGTGCCGGTGCTTAAGGTTACTGTGTATATTTTACCCTCCTCACTTCTATTACTCTCTATGTGGATTTATTTTTAATATATTTTCATGTTTCAATAAATTTTTGTTACTTTTTAACTTATTCTTTGGCGATACATTTTATCTATTGCTCAGGGCAGCCAGCTCTATGTACTGGCTTTTTGCCCAACTACAGACATTTTTCTATCACACTGTATTAAGTGATAGTTTACTCAATCATTTATTTTCTTCCTCCATAGGTAGTGAGTGAAAGTATATTATTTGGCACATATTATCCCTTTTCCAGAATTTTGTTTTCTGGGTTATGAGATAACTCTGCCATACATATATAGTTTGTGTATATACACAATTTTCTATTTATCCGATTTCCTGCAATTACTATCCTTTAATATTTATCAGCTCCTGGATTTTTTACTACTACACCTCCTGTGCAGCAGATCCCATTCATCTTGTCTTTAATAGGTTTTTGGTGAATTCCTATATTTATCCAGTTTTAGAGCTTTTTTTCTTTCTGGTCTTTTTCCCTCTATCTCTCGATACAAAGATTTTTGTAAGAGATACTCCAATTATACATACATTATATATATATATATATATTTTATATATATATATATATATATATATATATATATATATATATATATATATATATATATATATATATATATATATATTCTCAAAATACACATAGAACGAAATATATATCTATATACATACGTATATAAACCTATATATAAATAAAAATATTTAAAAAAAATTTTTAGATATATATAAAAAATTTTTTATATATATATATAAATTTTTTAAATATTTTTATTTATATATAGGTTTATATACGTATATATTTATGTATATAGATATATATTTCGTTCTATGTGTATTTTGAGAATATATATATATATATATATATATATATATATATCTATATCTCAAAATACAAAATAACACATCTATATATTTTTTAATTATTTATTTTTAATTATTTTTTTAATTTTTTTACGTATTTACATGTTTATTTTTTATATATATATATATATATATATATATATATATATATATATATATATATATATATATATATATATATATATATATATATATATATCTACACACAGAACAAAATAATATATATATCTATATACATAAGTATATATACTGTGATAAAGTGAAGGCAGATAGGCCTTTTAACCCCAGGGGAAGTACGTGTAGTTTGTGTGTTGCACAACACAAAGCTTTGTTTAGTTATGGGCCCCTGGGGTGGAGCATTTGGAGAGAAGGGTGGGCCAATGCTCCACTCCACAGTTTAGTGGTTTTCTGGGGAGACATAGATCCAGGCCAGGGTTTTTTGGACCGTCTCCAACCCACTGCTCAGCTGCAGTTAATGAGCTGTTGCAGTGGGAATAAACCCCTCCCGGCTAGGCAGGAAAAAGGGAGGGATTGCTGGCTTCCTCCCAGGAAGCAGGTAGGAGAGAGGCTGTTCTCTCCAGATAGAGAGTCAAGGAGACTAGGCACTGGGAGTGCAGAAAGGAAGCAGTCAAGGCTGGCTTGGAGCAGTGGGAGTGCAGGAGGAAGCAATATAAGGCTGGCGTGGAGCACTGGGAGTGCAGGAGGAAGCAGTCAAGGCTGGCTTGGAGCACTGGGAGTGCAGAAAGGAAAGCAGTCAGGGCAAGGCTGGCTTGGAGCACTGGGAGTGCAGAAAGGAAAGCAGTCAGGGCAAGGCTGGCTTGGAGCACTGGGAGTGGAGAAAGAAAAGCAACAGGCTAGCTAGCAGAGTGTTGCTATCTAATAAGGTTGGTGCAATATGTTTGTTAGTTTAACCCTGATAGAGAGGGATATTCAAAGTGAGTCAGTGCTCAGACGAGCTAGGTTTTTGTTTAAAGGGAAACCTGTTATATTTATGTTTTCATTTGCTGCTGCCTCATATGTAAACTTACAAATAAAGTGCCTGGAATGAAGTTGCATTAAAAGACTGTGCATGTTTTTGCCTTAGAGGACCGTGCTACCTGCTGACAAGGATCACAAAAATTTATATATATATATATATTCTAAGTATATTTTATTATTTTTACACTATTTATTTTATTTAATTTTATTTTCAGCCAGCAGGAGGACTAACTGTCATTACAGGCAGCCCCCTGCTGGCAATGCTGCAGCCAGCTACCCCCAGCCATGTGATTGTGGGGTCCTCGCAAGGACCCCACTCTCACATGGCCGGGGGGGCTTCCAGGACGTCGGAGGTGCCGCTGGGAGTCTCCCGAACCGCGATCGCCGGTGTGGGATCGCCGGCGACCAGGTAAGTACAGAAAGACCGGAGGGTGTACTATTACGCCCGTCGGCGTTTAGAGCCGCTTAGAATAAGGCGTAATAGTACGCCCTCCGGTCTTAAGGGGTTAAAATATGACTAATTTTGGGTTCTGGTTTATATTAGATTAAGATTTACCATCCACTGCTTTGAGTGTCCCATGTTGGAATTACCAACTGAGCTAGAAAATGATTGAAACGGATATAAATTATATAAAAGCAATTTAACACCCTTTAATTAACCAGCACTGTTGGCATTCTAACGGATTCATCGCACTGAAGTGGTTATAGTGTCTGCAGAACTCTGGCGCTGTTCATTTAGCGTTAATTCGTTTTTAACCCCTTAAGGACTGGACTGTTTTTGCGATGTTGTACATTTGTGACCAGGCATATTTTTACACTTTTGTGGTGTTTGTGTTTGGCTGGAATTTTCCGCTCTCTCATTTACTGTTCCCATACAAATTATATATTGTTTTTTTCAGGACAAAAGGGGCTTTCTTTACATACCATTATTTATATAATCTCATGTATTTTAATTTTAAAAAAAATGATGAAAAATAGAAAAAAAATAGCTAAATAGATTCGAAATTTTGTCCTGAGTTTAAAAATACCCCGTGTATACATGCTTTTTTGCATGTTATAGGGCTATAGGTACAAGTAGGATATTGCGGTTTCAAAACATACATTTTTTTAAATTTATCAATAGTGACATTGTAACACTATTATCTGTCATAAATCTCTGAATAACACCCCACATGTACATTTTTTTTTTAAAGTAGACAACCCAGGGTATTCAATATGGGGTATGTCCAATCTTTTTTAGTAGCCACTTAGTCGAAAACACTGGCCAAAGTAAGCATTCATATTTGTTTGTGTGTGAAAAAAGTAAAAAAACTAAATTGAACGCTAATTTTGGCCAGTGTTTGTGACCAAGTGGTTACTAAAAAAGACTGGACATACCCCATTTGCAATACCTTGGGTTGTCTTCTTTTGCAAATGGTATGCCATCATGGGGGTAATTCTCATTCCTGGGCTACCATACGCTCTCAAAGGCAACGTAACCAACCTGGCCATTTTCAATGTAAAAATATTTGACCCATATATTTGACCTTGTAACTTTCAAAAATGCTATAAAACCTGTACATGGGGGGTACTGTTTTACTCGGGAGACATCGCTGAACACAAATATTAGTGTTTAATAACTGGAAAACGTATCACAACAATTATATCATCAGTAAAAGTGCTGTTTGTGTGTGAAAAATGCAAAAAAAGTCACTTTCACTGACAATATCATCGCTGTGATATGTTTTACTGTTTTGAATCACTAATATTTGTGTTCAGCGAAGTCTCCCGAGTAAAACAGTACCCCCCATGTACAGGTTTTAGGGTGTCGTAGAACGTTACAGGGTAAAATACAGTGCTAGCAAATTCAATTCTCTGGAATTTCGGCCTGGGTTGGCAGGCAGGTCCCTCAAATTGCAATCAATAAAATTACTGAATTATGTAAAAATATTACATAAATATGCACGTAGAATTTAAATATATATGCATATTTATATATTTGTAGTCTACGTGTATATTTATATAATTATTTATGTAATTTTGTATATGGACATATGTATATTTCTTATTTTTATATACATAGATATATACACAAATTCATTCTAAGTGTATTTTGATATAAATATATATATATTAATTTTAAAATACAGTTAGAATAAAATTTCATATAGATATAATTTTTTTTAAATTTTTATTATTTAAAAATGTATTTAATTTAAATTACTTATTTATATTTTATAATATATATATATATATATATATATATATATATATATATATATATACACACACACACACACACACACACACACACACACACACACACACACACACACACACACACAATATATATAGTTATTATATATACACACACACACGTGTGTAATTTAATAAGTGTATTTTTATATTAATATAAGTACATATTAATATAAAAATACACTTAGTATGGCATTATATATATATATATGTATATATAAAATATATAATATATAGACATATTATATTGATATAATATATGTCTATATATCATATGTATACACATAATTATTTTTTTTATTAACATTAACTTTTATTTAAATGATTTTACACTAGCAGGGAGACTGCCTGTCAGCACAGGCAGTCCCCCTGCAGGCAGACACATGGACACCTATTGTGACCATGTGATCGCTGTGTTGAGCGATCACATGGCCACAGGGGTCCTAATTCAGTGTGGGGAGATTGTCTGGGCTGCAGGCAGTCTCCCCACAACCGGAGCAACGCTGATCGCCGCCGGGGGAACGACGGCGATCGGGTAAGTAACGGAGACCGTTAGGACGGTTCAGGACCGTCATCGGTCGGCAACGCAAAAATGCTGATGACGGTCCTGAACCGTCCTCGGTCGCGAAGGGGTTAATGCAGGGGAGCCACCAGGGCCGAGGGAACCGAAGTCTTTCAGCTCTTCTTACAATGCTCCCTCGTGCACCCTGGCATTGTGCCGGGAAATAGCGTCACTCTAATCCTGGCATCACTTAACGGCGGGCAATAATGCAGAGTGAGAAGATTTCAGCAGCTCCACTGGACCCCAAGGAAAGGATCCATTCCAGCTATCCAAAAGGTAGGGAGGTAGTGGTGGACTTAAATTAAAAACGAATAATGAGTGTGTGTGTCTGTATGTCAGCCAGTAAGTATGTCTTCTGTCTGTTTAGATGACTGGCTCCCCTCTGATCACATCTCCCATTTTGTTTACATTGAAATGCAGACAGGATACAGACACTACAACAATTACATTACGCTGTAGTGGTTCTGGGGACTATAGTGTCCCTTTAAGAGTTGTATTGTAATGCTTTGTTAGTTTAAAAAAAAAAAAAAGCCTGGCTCCTACCTTTTTTTAAACTGGTTGCTAGATTTCAAGCAAATCTGTCAAGCCCTGCTAGGCTCGACAAATCCCACGCACCAGGTCGTCACGGTGAATACAAATTTTGTCAGCCAATGGGCTGACACAATCTCTGTGCGCCAGGAGGAAGTGAAGAACTGTAATTACTTCCTTCAAGCACTGAGGCAGCGCAGAGGAATGGCGGCTCTGCTCACGCGATCACCCCCCCACAGAGCTGGCCACCTGCCCATTCCTCTTCGCAGACTCAGCACCTAGAGAAATAAATTAGTTCCCTTCACTACTTCCCAGGCACAGAGAGCTGCACAGGGATAGAGAGACAGGAGTTGGTATTTGAACCAGCAACAGCCCAATCCCATCAGCAGCAGACACCCCACTAAACTGGTGACAATGCTTCTGCCCAATCCCACTGTACCCCAGGGAAGTCACCCTCCTGCATCCAAAAGGTAGGTAGGTAGGGGTGTGAGTGTGTGGGTCTCAAATAATTATTTTTTTTTTTTTAAAAAGCACACTTTTTCCTTACCAATAAACCCCCAGAATCTACACCTGCAACTATTTGGGAAACAGACAAATGTGTCATCTCAAGGTGTTTTATCAAGCACGGAACCAGACTAAAAAATGCTCCAATTTAACTAAACAACGAACTCAATTGGAAACCCAACATAAAGCTACTCTGAATGGCAATACTTACAAACAACTATTAACAATTAAAGTGAAACTCAACTCTTGGACATGAAAAATTAAAATCCAGTTTCGTCTCACTAAGAAATCCTTTTACGAATATGGTAACAAGAGCGGGAAGACGCTAGCGAAAACACTGAGAACACGTCGGCAAAAAAGCAAAAAACGGCCATTGCAGAGTGCTTTCAATAATACTATTCTTCACTTTACTGCTTACCCTCTCAAGAGCTGCTACCGGATGAGGATGGCATGAATTTCCACATCTTATACATCCAGACTGTCAAAGCGATCAATTCAATCTATGCGACACGTACCCAGTCCTTGCCCTCCTTCCTGGTCTCAGCAGACGCAGATGAGTTCAACAGGGTTGATTTGTCCTTCCTAACGTCTACGCTGGGACATCTGGGCTTTAGTCCACATATTACATCTTGGATTTTGACCTTATACACTACCCCGCTGCTTGAGTGAGCGTTAACAGGATCCTCTCAAAACCATTCGATATCAAGAACAGCACACGACAGGGGTGTCCTCTATGACCCCTACTCTTCGTAATCAGCTTGGAACCATTTATTAAACACAATACGTTCACAGCCACAAATAAGTATTAGGGGGAACTGGGGAGTAAGCAAGATCTCGTCTCATGCAGATGACCTCCTGTTCTCCATCTCAAACACAGAGTTCACCTTGAGAGAGATTATGCAACAATTCGATACATATAGACGCCTGTCCAACTTAAAAATCAAATTAACGAAATCCAAAATGTTGGGTACTCCCGAGCGACAGTGACCTCTCTAAGGGTGGAATTCCATCTCCAGTGGTGCAAGGAAGCTATTAAATACCTGGGGGTCTGGCTCTCAGCGGATTTTACCAATTCATTCTGCATTAAACTTCCCCCCACTTCTGGACAGAGTGCAAAAAGATTTTAAATCCTGGGCAGGATAAACGTCCTCAAAATGAATGTGCTCCCACGATTCGTATACTTCCTGCAAACCTTACCGCGCCAAATACCAAACACATTTCTCTCTCAAACTTGCAAAACAATCACAGAATACATCTGGCGTCGCCGGAAGGCAAGATTACATTTCGCCACTTTTACCAAACCAAAACAAAGGGGCCTGGGCTTACCGGACCTAGTTAAATACTCCAGAGGATTATTGAATGAATAGATGCCCCGACAGACAAGCTTTGGATCTCCACAGAAACCAGTTTTACAAAGACACCCCTGTACCTTCTCCTGTGGTTACCTCGAGAAGCGAAAGTGAGGCTAGCAGATAAACACCCAACCCTGTCTACCATCATGATACTATGGAAAAGACTCATCACACAGCTACCAAGCCCCAGGACTATCTCCAATGTGCCCCATTTCACACAAACCAAATTTTAGACGTGCAACATCTGCTCTCTACACCACGAACTTAGGGCTGCCGACCCCATGCAGAATAAAGGATGCCTATACTCACGGCACCATCACACCTAAAACTTGTCCAACACCAACCACACAACCCAACTACTTCACTTCAGATACCACCAGCTGGTGAGATTCTTGAAAAGCATACTCAACCTAGCCTTGAGGGAACTCTCTACCTATTAAACCATATGTGATAATTTTCCACTACCAGCACATGCAATGTCGCCATTATAAAGCCTGCTGAATGCCCACACTTTGACATTTCCCTTCCCTACGTCACCAAATATTGGGAGAGAGATATGGGACACCCGTTATCTTCTGAACAATGGTCCACCATCTTTACTCGCATACACAAATCATCCATCTGTACTAGGTTTCCTGAATCGGGATACAAGAGGATCTCTCACTGGTACAAGACGCCAAAAAGGTTGAACATTATAGGAAGCAATTGCGATCCGGAGTGCTGGAAAGGATTGGGCTCCCTATACCACATTTGATGGACATGCTCATTTATCAGACCTGTCTGGAAGGCAATCCATGGTGTCATTCCATCTATTACAGAAGCAAATCTACCACTCACACCAGAAACATACTTCAGTTAACACCCATACTATCGCCCCGTTTCAAATAATCAGTTATCCCACATTTGCATAATGCAGCCCGCAGCCTCATTCTACGCTATTGGAAACAAACTACAACCCAGACTCTACAAGAATGGATGAACAGGGTCGGGGACATCAGAAACAGAAGAGCTGATCCTATCAGCTGCAGGATGTATACAAACTCACCATGCAACCTGGTACCACTGGCTACGTTGGCTGCTCACAAATACCGCCACAGGAAACTAACAAGATACCGGCTGAGAACATACTGGTACGTCAGCTAAATGGCCCTGGAAAATGTCCCTAGAGAGACCACCACCTGGATGGGCGACACTGAATTCTGTACATTGCAGTACTTAGGAGACACTTTAGTGACTGTTTGAGTGACTTAACTAGGTGTCCCTGGGGAGCAATGTTAACACTGCCTTTTCTCCTAAAAGGCACCGCTGGCATTAAAAAGGCTGCAGGGAAGGACTATGCTTAGCAGAACAATTACATTATGCTGTGTGCCATACATTAGGCTGCGTACCGCGCATTACTTGCTCTGTGTGCCATACATTAGGTTGCGTACCGTGCATTACTTGCTCTGTGTGCCATACATTAGGCTGCGTACCGCGCATTACTTGCTCTGTGTGCCATACATTAGGTTGCGTACCGTGCATTACTTGCTCTGTGTGCCATACATTAGGC